AAAAAAAAAAAATTCAGCCAGGAATAGGGAAAAGAAAAAATGCTGAAAACTAGGACCTGGGAGGGGAAGATTAAGAATAATAGTAAAAAGGACAAAAGTATTAATAATAATAGTTGTTTTAAAACAGACAGATACAAACAAACTAATCACCGGAAAAAAAGAAAGTGAAAAGAAAAAAAGAGAGAGAAAAAAAAATCGGTGGAGGACACGGCAGGGCACCCAGGCTCCGTCTGAGCACACAGACTGTGATGGAGTTCCTGAGGTCCCAGAAAGTAGGTGGGAGTGAGGGATGGCTGCACCTCCGTTCACCAAGTGGGTGTGGAGTATAAGAGTAACAAGAGGAATGTGGTACCTTTTCAATCTTGCAGGTCCAGAGTGTCCTTGGGGTTGCTGGAAAGCTGAATGTGTTCTTAAGCCCCAGGAATCTGAGAGCACGCTGTCTCTTTAAATATCCAAAATAGTCGAGCCGCTTTTAAACATTCAAAATGGCGGCACCCTCAGGACCGGCAAAAGCCCACAGCTCAGCTCACCTTTCTCTTCACCTTCTCCGTTTATTCCCCAGCCACCAGAGCAGTCCTCTGTGCAGTCCCTGGCTAGCAGGGCTGATTTTTAGGTTAATTCTTAGGTCCTACCACCACTTGGGAATCTCCAAGCTGTCTGTGTCATCAGGATTGCTCAGGATTGCTGCCAAACCGCAGCTCCCTATGTCTCCTTTTTCGGTATTTTCACGCAAATTCTTCTGCTAGTTGGGGTTTAGTTCACTTCTATATCCTCCCATTCAAGGCTCAGGGGTTCAAGATTATCTTCTGTGTCTGTGTTAATTGGTTTCCCTTTTCTTTGTTGAAGAAGGGTCTGTCTGTGCAGTCTTTCTGCCTAATCCGCCATCTTGCTAGAACTTCCTCAATATTGCAACTTGAGGCTTTGATTTTTTTCTTTAGTGCTTTCAGCTTCAGAAATGCTGATTTTGTTCTTCCCTTTTAGTTTTCTAACTCAACGCCTTTGCACATTTCATTGTATACTTGTCTTCTGGAGCCACCTTTTGAAATCTTCTGTTGAGCTCTTTTACGTCATCATTCCTTACATGCACTGTAGCTACTGTATGTTTAAGAGCAAGTTTCAGTCTTATCTGATATATATTATGGTCTTTTCTTATCTTTTTAATGACCTTTTGGTTTCTTCATGTATAATATCCTTGATATCATCCCAGAACTTATCTGGTCTTCATCATTAATGTTCAATGCCTCAAATCTATTCTTGAGATGGTCTCTAAATTCAAGTGGGATATACTCAAGGCTGTACTCTGGCTGTTGTGAATTTATTTCAATTTTCCTGAGCTTCAATTTGAACTTGCAAATGAAGAGCTGATATTCTATTCTACAGTAGGCCCCTAGTCTTATTCTCACTTATGATACAGAATTTTTTCATTTTCTCTTTCCACAAATGTAGTCAATTTGATTCCTGTGAATTCCATCTGACCCTACTTACAAGTTAATAAGTCTCTTACTGCTCATGGATGCTGATAGAAGATATAAGAATTCTGGTCAGAGGCAAAGGACTTTATTACTCACAGCACAGCAAACAGTATGAGCATCATGTCACCCAGTGGGTTGTATTACAGTAGAAGAGCACCAAACTTGGAATTCTGCTGTTTTATAATGGGCAGTAAACAAACTTGCTACTTGTCCTGAAGGAAGATATTGTCTCGTCCCTCAAAGTTGCTCACTGCAAACACAACTTTGAGAAAAGGCCTAGGTAACATGCAGGCAAGGCCTTGTATTCTTGGTATACCCAGCAGGATGTGTAGGAGCATCAGAGAACCAACACATCCATATGAATTAATAAGGGAAGGTGTTAAAATAAAAATTTTTTTAAAAAAAACGTAAGA